TTTCAATTTTATGGTTGCCTACAGACCTATTAGTCAACTGCTCGCTTCTCTATTTCTACCATCCAATTGTTGTATGCACAAGAGATCTAGTCAGCCCAGATCGCATAAGACAATGACGGAAGGATGCTTGAATATTTCCACAATTATAATACAACTTAGAAGTGGGCTGACCTTGTTGTCGCAACTTGGTCTTGTTGTCAGGGCGACTTAGTAGAGCGCACCTAGGTCGAAGTCGTCTGCCATAGTAGTTGTCATGATTTCCAGCATGATGCGGAGAATGGCAAAACTCACTGATGATGCCGACTACGATACTGGCGAAACGTTTGACAATGTACCAAGTCCACTGTCAGATGCTGGCAATCATGACTATTATGGCAGACGACTTCGGCCTAGGTGCGTTCTACTAAGTCGCCCTGGCAACAAGACCAAGTTGCGACCAACTTCTATTAATCGAAAAGGAGATTACGACCCTACCAGAGGACACAACATCTTTGTCTTCATATCTTCAAATAATATGACTCAGTTCTCAACAGGTATTTATTCTCATCCCAACTGGACTGAAGTGGAGTTTCGACTCCGCCTAAACTGGGATTCGAACCAGAGCTGTGCCGGTGCAGCGTCCAATCTCGACATGCCAACCATTCGACCAAGCTGCCACGAGAGTGCCCTTGGGCTACTGGGCCGGCGTGGATTTCAGACAAGCCTAGGCCTCTTCCTGGAGGGTGGTACCTTTTGAGAAGCAAGGCGAAACGCACTTGTATGCAAAGTGAATAAATGGGCCTCAAAATGTGTTGCAAGCCGAAGCCCCTATTGACCTGGGCTTGGGGAACCCAAACCTTGGTTGTCACTGCGGTTTCGCTTCTGTGGCAGACTTCCGATCGAACCGCTTCACATTCTACTTTGGGCCATTGTTGCAGACTCATGTGTTCATACGTATACTCTCTGTTTCAATGTCAATATTTGAAGTATTCAACAAAACAACCAAACTCGTTTGGCCCCTAACGGAGCGTGTGTATTTATACAAGTTTGTTTGACTTGAGCTGTACTTGGTCACTGGTGAGGCAGTCAAACAGAAGTAAAACGACGATAGAAAAGGCCTTCTTTTACACTCTCTGCCAGTCATTCATGCCTTATTCAAGGCGATATATTCTGCAGTCGAGTTAGTAAAACTTTTTCCTCCTTATCACTGACTGTCAGAGCAAATATATGAGCCTCGTGCATGCCCGTGTGCTTGCTCGCGTGCACATTCTTCTCGTCTGATGTGTTCATGTGTCTAATGGTGTGCTTGTCGTTGTGTCTCAACCTGAGCTTGCGTCTCCGTTGGAGAGACGAGCGAAGGGGGCCAGCAACGAGAGCAAGATTCACACCAGCCTACAAGGGAGACAAGGCTGCTGTCCTGACGGCGGTAATCCTGAGGCTCTTGGCAACTTGACGATGGGGCTGCTGACGGGTTGGCTTACTTTAACCCTCCGACCTTGAATTACATTCGCCGTCCAAGTCGTCGGCAGACCCTCGTGTGGTTCGGATGAGACCGAGAGCATGAATGCATGTTCAGTCTCTAGTGCCTAGCGACTCCATCGATTGACAAAACAGGTTTCTCATGCCACACCCGAAAGTGATCCAACCTGAATCA